AAAAAAACTAGTTAGTCATGATAAGTTTTGTTTAGTTAAAGAAGTAAGTTTTATTACCATGTAAAAAAACTAGTTAGTCATGATAAGTTTTGTTTAGTTAAAGAAGTAAGTTTTATTACCATGTAAAAAAACTAGTTAGTCATGATAAGTTTTGTTTAGTTAAAGAAGTAAGTTTTATTACCATATAAAAACTAGTTAGTCATGATAAGTTTTGTTTAGTTAAAGAAGTAAGTTTTATTACCATGTAAAAAAACTAGTTGGTCATGATAAGTTTTGTTTAGTTAAAGAAGTAAGTTTTATTACCATGTAAAAAAACTAGTTGGTCATGATAAGTTTTGTTTAGTTTTATGTTCTTATTATTTTCTGCTTGTGGAACATGGTTGTGATATCATCCTCTAAAAACTAACTTTTACAGAATAAAAGAGGTTTTATAAATACTCATTATGATGTCAAACAAGAAGACGTAAATCCTCCGACACATGGTAGGTTGTGATGATCAAGGTTAATGTTAACATTCATCGTGTGGTTTTAAAGTTAATTTCTTTGTTCTAGACACCGTGTGTGTATACGATAAATTACATCATCTGTTTTTCTTTCCTAGACAGGAGTTGAGCTGGAGCTGGTAGATTCAATACCGCTACTTGAGTGGCTAGCAAACAATTACAAAACCTTTGGTAAGATTAAAGAAGTTTTAGTACTAGTTTTTAGGAATCAGTGATAATCCAGGAACTACCTGTTAAAAGAGTCGCATCACTTGTTTTGTGTACATTTTTTATATACTAATTTTTAAAATTAAAATTGAATGTTAGTAGAATGAAGTACCAAGTTTCACAAGTTTTATTCTAGACATTATAAACGTAGCTAACTTAACACTATAAACACAAGTTTCATGTTAGATATATCATGATAAATATAGTGAAATTCATGCTCGATTTGTCACAGGGTTAATTACACACTATTGATTGGAGGAACGTTTGGTTTGTAAAACTTGTGTTTTGGTTTTTATAGGTGCAACGTTGGAGATCATCACAGATCGTTCACAAGAAGGGTCACAATTTGTGAAAGGATTCGGTGGCATTGGAGGTGAGGCTAGTTAGAAAATTGACACCAAATTAATTAGTATTAACTGTTACATATAGATTGAATGCTAAGGTACTTATTATTCTAAACAAAATTAAGTAATTAAAAGAATCAAACTTTTCAGAAGGAACAATTACAAAAAAATTTAAACCATTATTTTTATATACAGGCAAGTTAGGGTACAACAGTTAAAAAAAAAACAATTACAAGGATTATCAGTCCTTCATGTTTGGATGCCATCACACTGGTGCTTAAAAGCACCCGTAAAACAAGTTTAGGGAGGGCTTGTTAAAGCTTCTATCAAGTCTATTGTTGGGGCCACTACTAGACTAGTCCTTTTATTTTTAGCCAAGAAATAAATACTTTTGAACTCAGATCCTATTATTATTTGTCATGTCATTGACTATGGATCAGCTATTTGTATACATAGACAAGCTGACAGATAACTCTGTTGGTTGCTATGACTCCAACACTAGTGATGCTACAAGCACAGTAGTAGTTTCAAACGATATTGTTTTATACACACACATCAAATATTCGTAACTGAGAAACTAGGTCGATGTTGTAAAGTTTGAATTACAAAATTGGATATTAATTATTAGCAATAAGGGTTTTATCAAATTTGATTGTGATTTAAAGTGCATTTGACGAACTTTCTGCATGACACGAGGCCATGAGGACTGCCATATTGATCGGAGGTTGTCACAGTTCAGTCGCAAGCTGTGAACACGTATCGGTTTGGCTAGTAAAACTCTTGTTTGTGGAAAAACTGTACAATTCAGCCAATACAGATTTTATTGTCTACATTTGTAAACAAAAATCGAGATACGGCATCAGCCCGCTAACAGCCCTCAAACACGAAGGACTGGAACACGAGAAGTTATAAGATAATGGTTATGAAGTAGTCGAAGAATGGGTAGGATAATGAATGAAATTTGTGACTGGAGCTGAAGAGGATTAACATTTACTCAGTAAGCTCAATATGTTAAAGCTGTGAACTGATTAACAACATCACAACACGTATTTAATGTCATGTTCTGCCTGTTCCTGAATTAGTTGTTTTTGGAAACTTTGGTTAATAACTGTTTTAAATCTATAATGACATCACAACATGTATTTGATGTCATGTTCTGCCTTTTCCTGAATTAGTTGTTTTTGAAAAAAACTTTAGTTAATAACTGTTTTAAATCTATAATGACATCACAACACGTATTTAATGTCATGTTCTGCCTGTTCCTGAATTAGTTGTTTTTGGAAACTTTAGTTAATAACTGTTTTAAATCTATAATGACATCACAACACGTATTTAATGTCATGTTCTGCCTGTTCCTGAATTAGTTGTTTTTGAAAACTTTGGTTAATAACTGTTTTAAATCTATAATGACATCACAACACGTATTTAATGTCATGTTCTGCCTGTTCCTGAATTAGTTGTTTTTGGAATATTACAATAATGAAATTCTGAAGCCAGTAATCAATGTTGTTTTCTCACTGTTTTTCTGAAGGACTTCTACGATATAGAGTGGACTTTCAGGTGCTAGACCTCACGGACGGATTTGATGACTTTGATCTGGATGCCTTGTAAGCTGATTATTGTCATGTGATCATGGCGGTGTGGGCTAACTTACTTTGAAATTCCAGAAACAATTTGGCCCAATAGGAAGGACTCCTTCATGATTACTGTATGCAACAGGTGGCGCCTTATTTTACAGGGGCACGTGAAGACGCAGCAAACAGTTAATGCCTAATTTACCAGTGGTTGTGGGCTCATATTTTTATATATAAAAACAAAAAAGCATGAAAACACACCCATTTTTCCAGAAAGTTCAACAAGAATCAGATAAATGATTTTCTTACCTAGTTCATGAGTTTTAAATGAAGAGCCGTGGAATTCAGGAAAAATCAGTAACCATGACTATTAAGATGCTGTTTTTGGTACAAGCCTTTGGTATTTGATGATGAATTATTCTTATCCTTTTGTAAAAATATTCAAAAAGAAAAATTTTTTGAATTAATTTGTTTTATTTCTCTACAACTGTGCATCTATACCAGGTAATGATGAATCTAAGCCCTTTAGGTTGATTTTCAACCAAAGCCTTGCACCAGAAACATCTGTGGACAACCTTTTGGTTGAATAAAAGTATTTTGGCCCTGGTGGAGATGAATCAGTCATGTACATTTCAGCTACTGTACAATAAACTGTGGAGCCGTGAACTTGTAATTGGAGTGGGTTATTCTAATGACTACACTACCTAGAAACATCCTTCCAACTGTTAGGTACACTACTCATTAAAAAACTGATCAAAAGAAAGCTAACTACAGAAATCACAACCCAAGTTATCTGCTATAAAACCATTTTTTTTTCTTTATTTCAAATTTTTTGTTTTCCATTTGACTTGAATTCTGTATTTAACACATTATATAATATTATTTCGTCTGTGCTCTATAATTCTAACATAAGGAAAACATTTACAACACGTAGCTGCTGCCATCTGGTGGTAAACATATTTACAATAAACATCAAGAAGGATAAAGAAATGAACATGTAAAAGTGCAAGAAAGTTTGGAAAAAGCCTTACCAAAATTAAATTCAAACAATACAGTAATGTCTCAGTTTATTAAAAAAAACATACTACGACATTACATTATAAACAAAACAAGCTGGGTATATTTTTAGTATAAAGATGAAGCAGTTTTTCCCGATGTTTTCGGCTTATTTAATATTATTTTAGGGACAACAAAGGACCTCTTGGATCGTGTCATCCTCTAAAACAGAAACTATTAAATAATAAAATAAACTTCAAAGCCACTTCTTATCATACATATAGATATCAAGGTTTATCTTGGTAATTTGATGTAAAGGATCTTGTACGGGTTCTTTATCAATATCACATATCGAAATGGTGTATTTAAATTGTGGCGGAATGCCACAAGTTCTTCAAATACCTATTGATTGATAGGTTTCTTTTTGTGAGTGTAAAACACTTAAATACATCTTTTCGATAGCTTACTACTATAAAGGCTTGGTTTGGTCCGCTATTCCACTGGTGATAGTGTCCAGGGTCACTGATGAGGAGTAGAATTCTCCGAAACTAGCCTGGCTAACAGACACACCCCCAATGAAAAAATAGACTATTCCAAGCTTTTAGTTGTTGTTAAACAACTCTTTCCAATATCGATAATCTTGTTTCATTTGTCAAGAGTTAGTTCAATGAAGGATAATTATATTGGTTATTATGATGACATAATTGTTAACGTAAACGTAATCAATATAAAGTAAAATTTCAGGAAATATTATCTGGTTTACAAATTTAAGATACAGCCCCGATCTGGAGTTTGTTCAACACCTGTACTGAATTGTATTTTATTTTTGCCTTAATGTTAATAATTTTTAACTTACAAATAATAGATCAGTCTCGGCTCTTTGTTTTCGGTAAATTTTAAACAAGTTATTTTTTAAATTCAAACCTTGAAAAAAAAAGTTACTTTTTTCAGTTAAAAATATTTATCTATTTAATTATTCATTATATAATTGCATGTAATGAAATATCTGACGCCATCTTTAGTGTAAAAATCGCAAGTTTGACGAATCATACAATACGTACTGAAAAAATATAATATTAACAAAAATTAATAATTGCGTTCACCGTCTGGGGGAAAAAGATTTGATAAACGTAAGAAAATTTTAGCAGTATTAATAAAATGTAATATGCGAGTACACGTGTTCTTAAGTACAAATACTGAAACATTATTTGAAGTGTCCTCGTAAGAAGATAATATAATGTTTCTTTTCTTTCAACTACGTGTTGAGATTAATGAACTACTACTAAATATAACTTACAATCATATTTAAATATAAGTTAGGCGGAAATTAGACCCTTTGGCCTGCTACTTCGACACTTCAAAATGGCGTGTTTTACGCTATCATTATCTAGTCTTATGAGTAATAACTTCTTTTAAAACTAGTTATAGTTTAAAAAGATTATAAGCGTAAGTTATAAAGATGGAGGCTGCGATGTACATCTTGTTGTGTAGTATCTTGCCAGACGCTGTTATAAGTATAAATTGTGTAATTTCAGTGAAGAAAAGAAAAAAATCCATGAATGACGTAAAGGACTTTTCCGAGCTGGCGAATCATGATTATACTAGCGCAAAAACCCGTCATAAACGACTGGAAACCAAAGCTATTTCGCATACAACTTGTAATACATAAAATAAATATATAATTTACTTTCCAAGGAACATGCTACAAATTGCTCTTGAATCCACTACAAATTCTGTTAAATGATTTAACACCAACACACATATGTTTCCGACACAATATCAATGATATTCTAGATTGTGTTAAATGATTTAACACCAACACAATATCAATGATATTCTAGATTGTGTTAAATGATTTAACACCAACACACATATGTTTCCGACACAATATCAATGATATTCTAGATTGTGTTAAATGATTTAACACCAACACACATATGTTCCCAACACAATATCAATGATATTCTAGATTGTGTTAAATGATTTAACACCAACACACATATGTTTCCGACACAATATCAATGATATTCTAGATTGTGTTAAATGATTTAACACCAACACAATATCAATGATATTCTAGATTGTGATATCCAATCTGACTTACTTGGGTAGCTTCTGACGAAGAAATTGTTTAATAATTATATATATGTATATAGTTGACAAGTTAACTTCCATGAAACAGTTCGTTTTCTTCTCCCTCTCGACTTGAAATTTTTTTAGAATTGTCTAAGCTATTGGGTGTCGGTTTCGTAGGTTTCACAACTCCTACAGTTTCGTAGGTTTCACAAACTCTTTATCTCACCTTCTACTGAACTTTTTACTCATGTAGTCTACTTACTTTTAGTCACCCTTGGACGTTTCTTCACTCCTATCTGCACATTTCTTCATCCTTATCCGAACATTTCTTTACTCCTATCTGCACATTTTTTCATCCCTATCCGGAGATTTCTTCGTCCCTATCGAGAAGTTTCTTCATTCCTATTCGGACGTTTCTTTACTCATATCCGAACATTTCTTCACTCCTATTTTGACGTTTCAAAAATATCTTTATAGGACAGTGATTTATAACATAATGAATTTGACCTTACAGGACATTGATTTATAACATTTTGAAGGCGACCTTACAGGACGTTGATTTATAGCATTTTGAAGTTGACCTTACAAGACATTGATTTATAACATAATGAAGTTGACCTTACAGGACGTTGATTTATTGAAGTTGACCTTACAGGACTTTGATTTATAACATAATGAAGTTGACCTTACAGGACGTTGATTTATAACATTTTGAAGCTGACCTTACAGGACGTTGATTTATGATATATTGAAGTTGACCTTACAGGACGTTGATTTATAACATAATGAAGTTGACCTTACAGGACGTTGATTTATAATATATTTAAGTTGACCTTACAGGACGTTGATTTATAACATTTTGAAGGTGACCTAACAGGACATTGATTTATAATATATCGAATGTGATATTAACCTCACAAAAGCCTTGATTTAAAACATGAACATGGAAAATAAGAGATGTAAATGACATGATTAAGATGTTATTTCATCAAAGGGAACAAAATGTGTTGAGGAGATTAAAAAATCCTTTGTGTCTTTTTCACATTTAAAATATACTTACATATAAATATACATTTAATCCGAAAAATTGTTGCCGTGTTTTTAAGAAGCATGAACATTTAATGGTTATTAGGACTCGCACGTTAGGCTTACCTAGTCGTTACGCACAATATCACACGTTCGTTAGGGTCAACAAACTGGTTTGGTCATTGCCATTTAAATAAATCGCTGAGGTGAAAGTCACGCTAAGTGTCGAGGAAAATAATTACAAATAAAGGGGGAAAAGAACGTAACCCTCATGACCGGTTGTTTGTCAAATCAAATTTACTTTTCCCCTGAAATACGCTCTTAAATACTGGAATAAAAACTTAAAAAAACGGTTGTGAAGAAAATCATTCCTTTCACTTTAAGCTGATTTCAATTTTCGCAAGTTACTCTTTTAGGCTTCACTGGTAGCTCAACGGTAAATCTGAGAACTTAAAAGTAATTAAAAATCTGGTTTCGACCACCTGGAGGTGGGCAGAGCACAAATAACCACTTATGTAGCTTTTTGTATAATAACAACAAACAAAACACACACTTTCAGAATAAATAAAACTCTGCTTTTATTTCTCTATGAATTTTTAACTTTTTTTCACGACGGTTCATGAAACAGTTTTACCAAAAACCGAAATTATATTTGAAGTAAAGGTTAACCTTAATTGCGATTTAAAAGATTTTTGTCATGTAAGTGTCAACTATTTAAATGACTTTGTAACACGTACAATGCTGGCTGTTCCGTGTCTTCCAGAGACAGAAGAAACAGTAACACGTAGAATGCTGGCTGTTCCGTGTCTTCCCAAGACAGAAGGAACAGTAAAAGGTACAATGCTGGCTGTTCCGTGTCTTCCAGAGACAGAAGGAACAGTAACACGTAGAATGCTGGCTGTTCCGTGTCTTCCAGAGACAGAAGAAACAGTAAAAGGTACAAAGCTGGCTATTCCGTGTCTTCCAGAGACAGAAGAAACAGTAACACGTAGAATGCTGGCTGTTCCGTGTCTTCCAGAGACAGAAGAAACAGTAAAAGGTACAATGCTGGCTGTTCCGTGTCTTCCCAAGACAGAAGGAACAGTCAAAGGTACAAAGCTGGCTGTTCCGTGTCTTCCAGAGACAGAAGAAACAGTAACATGTTTCTTATGTTTTAACATTATTTCGAAGAGAAACAATTCTTAAGATCTCTCATGTGATATCAGATTTTTACTTATTTATAAACATATCATTATCACTTTGACTGTTTTAAAACTTTTCAATGTATTTTAATGTGCAAAAAATCATATATATCAGATATTTCTCTTTCTCTGAAATATTGAAACTGTTTAGTGGTCAGTTTGCGTGGTCAGATATTTCTCTTTCTCTGAAATATTGAAAAGGTTTAGTGGTCAGATATTTCATAGTTTAAATTTTATTTCACGGCTAAACGGCTTCACCGAGGGCTAGATTCTTCGCGCATGCGTATGTCTTGTTCAACAGGTTGTCGACAGAATGCCCCTGGGGAGCTTCTGTCACGCGCGTGAGAGTATCAAAGTTTTTATTTCTTGAAGATGCATTCGGGGAGAGGAGATA